CAGTTTGTCAAAAAGTTTTGTCTTGAATATTCTTGCTTTATCACCTTTTCAAAATCCTTACATGTTCTTTATAAGTTTCTTTATTTTATTTTTTTTAGTTAAAGGAATTCTCTTAGTGTCGGTTTATATGTGTCCCCTTATTTACATCCGTCTCGATCAGTAATATCAATATAAGTCAGTATTCTAATTGACTTATGTTAATGTAACATAGTATTTTAATTGACATGACAAAATATTATTAGAAAAGAAAACAAAAACAAAAAGATACAAAAATTCTTCTCTTGGTAAATTCCAATTAATGGACTCGTCATCTATATGACTTACGTGAGGGGAATGATTTTTTTTTATTTTTAATGAAGGTGACAATACAAAAACACACACATTTGGTATATTTAAATGGAAAAAAAAAAAAAAAAGTTAATCTGATATTTTAAGAAATGTTTAGAAAATAATTTTATTACCTTCAATTACCATCTTCCTTGACCATATATAATGTTCCATATGGGTGTATATGTATCTTTTACTAGGTGATCTCACTTATCTTTGAAATATATATTATTGTTTCACACTTCACTCATTGTAAAACATTTTGAGCCCAAAATAAAGTACATGTATAGAAGGGTAACAAACTAAACTGCCAAAAACAACCCATTTGGAAGAATTCAGAAAAATATCGATTGATATCCATCACACAGGGAACTGAATCCGATATTACTCTTATTTGAAACGCCACAGGGAAAAAATGGGTTCATCATAAAAGTTATGGAAAAGCATATCATATAGAATCATTCCATTTCGATTAAAGGGAATGTCCACAAACGGCCTTATAATTATTTCTCAGTGATGCTTCCATGAGCTTCCAATTCACACTTATACACGCACATATTTCATGATCTTTGGCCCCATATTATTTATTATAAATATGTACCATGCATATATATATATATATATGTATATATATATATATATCCCAAAAAACATGTGGCCTTCAATATCGATACACCTCTTTCTTGAATATACAAGAACAACATATGTTTCAGGCAGGTAAAATATGAGATTAATCATAGCTCAATTCATTATAACAATTGCCAACAAACACAAATTAATCATTCAATGAAGGGCAAAAATAAAGTCAATAACTTTTTATTAGGGTTTTTGTAAGGATCAAGGTTGAGGTCTACTACTTGTAATTAATTTGGCAAAATAGAATGATTATGAAAATCAAGTAGATGATTATGTTTTTGAGCTTTATTTTTGTGAGGTAGATGATCATAATAATCAAAGTGCATTAAATGTTAAGCATCCCGCACGTTTGTGGTGAAGTACTCCATCAAACGGCTCATAATTATTTTACTTTGAGTGGACTCTTACTCTTTTTGTATCAATTTTGATTTCAGTGAAGAAACAACAAGAAATGTGGAAGAAAAAAAAAAAGTTATCTCTATTCTCTGTCTTCTAAAAAAATAAAAAATAAAAAGAATAAAAGAGAAAGCTAGTTGTTACTTGGAACTGGCCATCTGTACGAATGGGGAACCAAGTTGAAATGACATTCATGAAAGCTCAAAAGGACTTAGGGGATGTTTGGTTGGAGGATTCAAACCATGATTTGAATCATGGTTCATAGTTCGCTACAGTGTTTTCTCTCACAAAAAATACACGTAAATCGAAAATGATTCTAATCCATGAACCAATCGTCTCCTTAGTTGTGTAACTCTTGAGCAGTCTGATGTGTGTTGTAAAGCTAGCTATTGTACTTTCTCATATTCAAGTTTTGTGGTTTTCTTTTCCACTAGTTTTGGGTGCTAAGAATTGGATGCCTTAATTTAATACTAATAAGAGTAATAGAATTGTAAAAAATAAATCAAACAAAATACGAATACGTAAAATTTATAAAAATTCATCTTAATGTGAGATTACTTTCTTTTTCAATCGTTGTAGTAATTTACAATGATGGAGATGAATTTTACAATAAAAAAATCACACACCTCTCAATATCTCTCTTATAACTCTAAAATTGCACCCCCTTTTATAAAGAATAAAATCCCCAAACAACATTAATTTTAAAATCTTGAAAGGTCGATCGGTGAAATGCAAAGAAATAATCACCAAGGTAATAACAAGGCTTCTTCGAATCTTGGTGGAATTAATTTTAAACAAAATGAAGAATGAGTCTGGATTTTACTTCTTATTCTTGATAAATAACCTTTTATTAGTGTAATTATTTGACTAAAAATATTATAAATTAAGAATAAAAAATAAAAATTATGACTCATGCACTTTTAAAGAGTATTTGTCAAGATTATTTTTTTTTTAGGTTTTGTAACTAAGTCCGATCTTTACTTTAAGAAAAGGTCCAACCAGGTGGGTCTGGACCAGTTCTTCTACAGGCCAGGGTCCAACTCAGGTGGGTCCAGACCAGCTTTTCTACAGTCCAGTTCTTGAACATTGAGAATAAAGCTAGCCCAAACCTACAACTGTGGGAGTGTTTTTTTTTTTTTTTTTTTTTTTTTTTTTTAAATTTTTTTTTTTTCTTTATATGTTTTTGCTCTAATATTTATGGATCAACTGGCTTTCATCCATTACCGTGAAATTGAAAAAAGAGATATTGCTTATTTGCTTAGAAGTTAAAATGATTGATGGTGCCATGGTGGTGGTTTGGTTTAATTGGTATTCCTCACCACCCATAAAAGTTAAAAGAGGATCCAGAAAATCGTGATTCATTAATTTATTTATGAGAAAATGAGACAAATACTTATATTAGATGGACTTGATTATTACATTTATTTTTTATTAGTATTTTTTTAATCAATACTATATTAGTAAAAGGTATTAATCAATAGTCTTTTTCATAATTGTATTCATTTTTATTTTTCAAAAATATTTGAAATATTAGTGGATGACAACTTGCATTTTCTTTGTTCTATATTTATTATTGAGCTAAGAATAAACCATGCACCAAGTTATAGAATTTATAGAGCTAATTAAAATAAATTGAAGTCAAGTTGACTTTCTTTTGTGGGGATCACATCTTACCTCCTTTTCCTACAAAGGTTTTTCAAACTCCAATCAATGCTAGTTAGCGCCACTTATGTGAGAATAGATTGATTCAAGGGAAATTTTATTGACACCCCATAAATTCATTAAGGCACCCCATTTTTAAAAACGTAATTTTTTATTACAATTATAACCTTGCACACAAACGGATTATGTGTCCCGTTCATTTCACCAATTCGAGTTTTGTTACAGTAAAAAAGTTTTCAGAAACAGTTACATTTAACTTTTTTATTACAGTAAAAAGCTCTCACATAAAGTCACATCTCAACTCAAATTAAAAATTCGAATCATTGAACTAAACGGGCTGTAATTTCATTAATTTTCTTTTGTGGTTCTCTCGTGTATTCTGAAAGACGTGTTATTGTCTGCAATTTCCTGTGTGGGGCTGCAATAGTTTTGGTCAAATGGAAACAAACCAATTGAAAAAGAAAAAAAAAAATTGTATATACTTTAGATTATATTTTGTTTTGTGTTTCTTCTCTTCCCCGGTTGGATCTTTTCATTATTTCTTCAACAAATTGGTTTTGGCAGAAGGCAAAACATCATAAGAATTGTTTACAGAACAATGATGATCTCAAAGGGAAGTGACTGAAAATCAAAGACAAAACAAAAAACAACATATACACTGATTAAGGGATGCCTTTTATCTTTTTTAGGGGTGTAAATAAAATTTCCCTTAATACACTCGTGTGTGGTCATATGTGATAATGCTAAATGGATATGCCATTCATGTGTTGCTTCTAGTACTATTGGTGCTCTTTAGCACTTGAGATGAGTTTCCAAATCACTCCCCAAATTTTGCTTCTATATACCGATTAAGAAATATATTTAAGAAAAAAGATAAAAGGAAAGAAATTTTTCCGAATGATATAGTGAATAGGAAACAAAGACGTTTGGTTGGAGAATTTAAACCATGTGATTTGAACTATTTTCAATTTACGTGAATTTTTTGTGAGAGAAAATACTGTAGCGAATCATGAATCATGATTCGAATAAGGGAACGAATCCCTCTACCAAACATCCTAACCCGAATGGCACTTTCGGGGAAAAAAAAAAAAAAAAAAACTCCCAAGTGGCCTTATCTCACAATCCCATATGAATAAAAACAAAAACTGTTTTCATCCTATGGGATTATAACCCTATCAGTCACAAATTGCAAGTCCTATCAAATGGGTATATCAATCATGATTGAGATGGTTATAATGTTACGGGTTCAACATGGGTGCTTGAATAAAAAGAACATATATTACTATGTAGTGAGTCCTATTTATATTGTTTCTCGTACGATTAAAAAAATAACTACAAAAAAACTTTGTTTTCGGCCGTTAAATTTATACTTAAATTATTATTTCTACATATATTTTTAATTTAATATAATTTTAATTAAATTTAACGGTTAAAAACTGACCCTATTAATTTGGAGAATCCTATTAGAGATAGACACTAAAAAAAACTTTTTTTTAATAAATTTAAATAGGCCGAATACCGCTCAAGTAATGTTATCTTTACATTTACGCACATAATAAATTTAAAATTTAATGCCACTCAATTTAAAAATATATATATAATATATTTATATTAAATAGTATAAATGTAAACTTGGTGTCATGTCATGTAATCAATAATTTTCTCATAAAAATTTAAATTATGTTCAAATCTTTTCACGTGTGTGGTATATTCAAGTACCAACTCTAACCTCCTCTAATCCTCCTCCCACTCATGATGCAATTAGAAGCCCACTGGTGTAAAGAATGATGGACAGCCCAAATGAAATCAAAGTCCGATAGACCTGCGGCCATGTTTTGACCCAATAAAGGCCCACTTTATTTATTTTCTTCCTCATCAGCAATAACTTGGCTTGTAATGAGTGGGGACCACACGGGAAGCTTCATGCCTCTACATCTCCACACCTGTCCAAATCGATTTCTGAGAAAAATACAAAAATATTTAAAAAAAAATTCTCTCTCACCCATTGGTAGAGAAAAAAAGAACAGAGCCAACTCATCCGAAGAACGATCAATCTCGCCGATCAAAATCCCCAAATCTTCCAAACCCTAATACTCACAGCAAATCGACAATGTCTTCCACCTTCAGCGGCGACGAAACCGCTCCCTTCTTCGGCTTCCTCGGCGCCGCCGCCGCCCTGGTATTCTCCTGTACATACTTCTATACTCTTCCGTTTGGTTCCCGAGAAAAAAACACAAAAAACGAAATTGAAGCTTCAAGAATAATTGACAGATCGAATTTTATTGTGGACGCTTCATTTGTGTTGAATTACTTGTGTAATTGAGAATTGCGATGCGAAATTGATTAGTTGTTGGTTACTAGGTCATACGAAAACGAAATTGAAGATCAAATTGTGTATTATATATATGTTTGTATTAAATTAATTTTGGATTGTGAAATTCCGATGCAAAATTGATGATTGCTGTGGGTGATTAGGTATGGGTGCGGCGTACGGGACGGCGAAGAGCGGAGTGGGAGTGGCGTCGATGGGAGTGATGAGACCGGAGCTCGTGATGAAGTCGATCGTTCCGGTTGTTATGGCTGGAGTGTTAGGTATTTATGGATTGATTATCGCTGTTATTATTAGTACCGGAATTAACCCTAAGGCCAAATCCTATTACCTCTTTGATGGTTACGCTCATCTCTCCTCTGGTCTCGCTTGTGGCCTCGCCGGTCTTTCGGCCGGTATGGCCATTGGTATCGTCGGCGATGCCGGTGTTAGGTAAGCTTAACTTTCCGTTTTGTTATAGTTATTATATTGATTTATTTGTTTCCTTGCCAATGAAGACCTTGAAATTTATTGAAAATCAACCATAGTGGCCACAGAGGGAGGGAGTTAGCTCCTCCCAAGACTAATAACCACAGTTGTAGAAGCAAGTGCACATTTTCTATAATTATCCACTTATCCTTGCTATGTTTATAGTTAAAGTTCATTTTTTTCCCCTTGGTACCTTTTTAAATTTTGTTGCTTTCTGTTTGTTTCATCCATGATTGTGTTGGTGGTTATTAATTTCCTTGTTCTAACCTGTGAAGCTATTGGTGTACTCTGTTGCGTGCTTTAACTATTTTTAATGTGACAATTGAAGAAGCAATGTCCATGTTCAATATGTCCATTCCATTCAATTGATTTTGATGATGCTTGTGGGACAGTGGAATACGTTCCATCTAAAGATGTGTTTCAGTAACTCACGCACAATTGTATTGTGCTTTTGGAAATATATGTTTGGACAATTTTTTTTTTGTTTGATGTTTCTGTCTGTAATGGTTATCACTCTGTTTAACTTGACGTTTCAACACGACTCTATGGGTGCGTTTGGAATTGGTTCCAAAACGTTTTTGTCTTTTGTATGAAAATGAAAACAAAAACGTTTTTATTTTCATTTTGGAATCATTTCTGAAAATGCATTTGGTACTTTTATTCAGAGATTGATTTCAGTTTTAAAAAAAACTAAAAGTGCATTTGGTGGTTTAATTTTTGAAAACATGTAATAATATATTAAATAAATATTATTATTAAATATATTAAATGAACGTTAATAGAAGAGTGGGGGGGGCGGCGCGCAGTTGCAGACGTCGGGGGGGGGAGAAGAGAGAGAAGAAAAAAAAAAAAAAAGATCCGTTCCGTTTTCAGAACTGAAAACGTGAAAATGAAAACAGGTTTTTTTCATTTTCACTTTTTTAGAAAAGACAAAAACTTTTAAGCCAAACACATTTTCAGTTTGCATTTTCATTTTTTAGTCTTGAAAAACGTGAAAAATGAAAATGAAAACATAAATAAACAGGCCCTATAATTCCCTTTTCATTTTATCCTGGATGAAGTTTAAACAAGATATAGAGGGGAAAGGCGATCCTGATTTGGTTTTTATGATTTGAGATTTGTAGTGTTTTAGTTGGTTGTTTTCACCTGTCATTGCTGAGTTCTGTACTGTTTAGAAGTTGCTAGTTGCCTAGTTGCTTTGCTTTTTAAAATCAGGAATGACGGCTTCTTTTAATTAAAAGTTCTATTTTCTCGTGGATGGTGATTGACGCATCAAGAGGAAATTAAGTTTTTTTAGCAGTTTATATGATGAATCCTTTTGATTGTTGCATGTTTGGACTTCATTGGTATTGTCGACGATGCCGGTGTTAGGTAAGCTTAATTTTCCGTTCTGTTATAGTTATTATATTGATTTATTTGTTTCCTTGCCACTGAAGACCTTGAAATTTATTGAAAATCAACCATAGTGGCCACATAGGGAGGGAGTTAGCTCCTCCCAAGACTAGTAACCACAGTTGTAGAAGCAAGTGCACATTTTCTATAATTATCCACTTATCCTATGCTATGTTTATAGTTAAAGTTCATTTTTTTCCCCTTGGTATCCTTCCAAATTTTGTTGCTTTCTGTTTGTTTCATCCATGATTGTGTTGGTGGTTATTAATTTCCTTGTTCTAACCTGTGAAGCTATTGGTGTATTCTGCTGTGTGCCTTAACTATGTTTAATGTGACAATTAACTATGTTTAATGTGACAATTGAAGAAGCAATGTCCATGTTCAATATGTCCATTTTTGATGATGCTTGTGGGACAGTGGAATATGTTCCATCTAAAGACGTGTTTCAGTAACTCACGCACAATTGTATTGTGCTTTTGGAAATATATGTTTGGACAATTTTTTTTTTGTTTGATGTTTCTGTTTGTAATGGTTACCACTCTGTTTAACTTGACATTTCGACACGACTCTATAATTCCCTTTTCATTTTATCCTGGATGAAGTTTAAACAAGATATAGAGGGAAAAGGCAACTGATTTGGTTTTTATGATTTGAGATTTGTAGTGTTTTAGTTGGTTGTTTTCACCTGTCATTGCTGAGTTCTGTACTGTTTAGAAGTTGCTAGTTGCCTAGTTGCTTTGCTTTTTAAAATCAGGAATGACGGCTTCTTTTTATTAAAAGTTCTATTTTCTCGTGGATGGTGATTGACGCATCAAGAGGAAATTAAGTTTTTTTGGCAGTTTATATGATGAATCCTTTTGATTGTTGCATGTTTGGACTTCATTGGTATTGTCGACGATGCCGGTGTTAGGTAAGCTTAACTTTCCGTTTTGTTATAGTTATTATATTGATTTATTTGTTTCCTTGCCACTGAAGACCTTGAAATTTATTGAAAATCAACCAGTGGCCACATAGGGAGGGAGTTAGCTCCTCCCAAGACTAATAACCACAGTTGTAGAAGCAAGTGCACATTTTCTATAATTATCCACTTATCCTATGCTATGTTTATAGTTAAAGTTCATTTTTTTCCCCTTGGTACCCTTCCAAATTTTGTTGCTTTCTGTTTGTTTCATCCATGATTGTGTTGGTGGTTATTAATTTCCTTGTTCTAACCTGTGAAGCTATTGGTGTATTCTGTTGTGTGCTTTAACTATGTTTAATGTGACAATTAACTATGTTTAATGTGACAATTGAAGAAGCAATGTCCATGTTCAATATTTCCATTTTTGATGATGCTTGTGGGACAGTGGAATATGTTCCATCTAAAGACGTGTTTCAGTAACTCACGCACAATTGTATTGTGCTTTTGGAAATATATGTTTGGACAATTTTTTTTTGTTTGATGTTTCTGTCTGTAATGGTTATCACTCTGTTTAACTTGACGTTTCGACACGACTCTATAATTCCCTTTTCATTTTATCCTGGATGAAGTTTAAACAAGATATAGAGGGAAAAGGTGATCCTGATTTGGTTTTTATGATTTGAGATTTATAGTGTTTTAGTTGGTTGTTTTCATCTGTCATTGCTGAGTTCTGTACTGTTTAGAAGTTGCTAGTTGCCTTGCTTTTCAAAATCAGGAATGACGGCTTCTTTTTATTAAAAGTTCTATTTTCTCGTGGATGGTGATTGACGCATCAAGAGGAAATTAAGTTTTTTGGGAGTTTATATGATGAATCCTTTTGATTGTTGCATGTTTGGACTTCATTGTCCACAATAAAAGTCGGTAGCTTGTTTGATTGGTAAATCTTCACCAGGGTTAGGAGGGGTTTATGGGTAGGGAGATTACCTGTCTTTATGGTTAATCACGTATTTAAAATTCTGAAAACGCAATAAGTTGACTTCTTGGTGCTTGACATCAATACCTTGTCAGAAGTCGATCTTAAGATAGGTTTCATTACATTTTAGATGCATTTCTTAAACTATTTCCCCAACACCACAACCCCCCCGTTTTTTTTTTTTTTGGTTGTGAAAGATACAAGATATGTCCTCACGCATACCCACTCTGTTTGTCTTAAGAGTTCAAAACAAATGTATCCTCTACCATAACTTGGTAAATCAAAAAACGCTGTTAACCCACTGGCTTAGTTGGATGTTTATACATGGGTTTACTGGAAGAGAGAGAGAGAGAGAGAGAGAGGGGATGTTGATAGAAGTGAGTTCACGTATAAGCTCAACGTGCAACTTTTATGATATGCATAGTCTTTAGTTTAGCTACCATTTGCTGATTTATGGCTGTGCTACCTTTGTGATCTCTACAATGGCACTTGTTATTCATATGGTACTACTCGAAAAAAGATCAATCTGCACTTGAAATATGCACCACACCTAAATGTTCAATTGTTTCCACAGAGCAAATGCACAACAGCCAAAGCTTTTTGTTGGAATGATTCTCATTCTCATCTTTGCGGAAGCCTTGGCTTTGTATGGCCTTATTGTGGGAATCATTCTTTCATCACGAGCTGGCCAATCAAGAGCAGAATAGAGGGAGATTTCGTTACATCGTTCTAGCAACGGCGTCGTTTGAGTTGCGTGGTTCCCTATGAACTTCTGATTGCTTCATTTTAAAATTCAGCCTACTGCTTCTTGTTGAACCCAGGGCGAGTTTCTTTGTAATAAAGCATACTTACTGAGCTGTGCTATTAATTGCGCTATTTCTGTATCTACTTAAAAAATTAAACGTAGCATAGAAGCTATTATCTTGGAAGTATCTCCAAACATTTTTTAAACGCCATTTGTAATTTCATCTTTTAAAATTTGCTTTCCAGATGATGATTTTATGGACCTTTTTATTATTATTATTGAGAATAATCAAGAACAGTAAAATGTTGAAAATGGCATGTCACTTAGCTTCATTGCTTTTGTTTCTATTTTGTTATGCAGGTTAGGCTTAGATCAATGGGTGAGTTTGCCAGTTCAGTACGGGCTTATGCAGGTTAGAATTAGTGTTGGAACTTTGGGCCGGCGGGTCGGTCCGAGGCCTGAATTTTTTGGGCTCGGTGGGCAAGCCTAAATACCGGCACGACCAACATAATTTTTCGGGCTCAAGCTCGGACAGCCTGAAAATGGACAACTCACCGGAGACTGTCGTCGTGTTTTTGTTGGAAAAAAACGGCATCTGAGTGCGTAACAGAATTTTAAAAAATTTAATCAACGTCAAAGCCAATCAAGAACGTGTTCATGATGCTATATAACATAAATACTAAAGATTTAAATCATACCTTTTGAGATTTAAGAAACTGTACGTCTGAATGATCAAAGCGTTCCAAACAGTGACCAGAAGAGCCTAAACTAACTGGTCTTCTTTGCTATTCTCGTTTCCACAATAGGAGTGCGGGTGGACACATGTCGTTCAATCTCTCTTTGGTATTCTTGAACTCCTTCCAACCACAAGAGAGCCAAAGAAAAAATCGTTCTTGAGAATTAAACAATTTTTCCTCTCAAGAATCTTTTGTCAATAGACTCTAAAAAGTCTCTTAAGTGATCTGATAAATAATGTGACTTAATGGGCTATTTATAGTGTTTAGGAAGTCATACTTCTATAACAATTAGGTTTCTCAAAGTTTATTTCACTTACAGAGTCGGTTTCGTCGCGTCAGCACGCGTTACGCGTTACAACCGGTCAACCGGTGACAGAGACGTTATAACTCACCAGTCGACCTGTTCTTCACGAACCGGTCGACCTGACCAGTCGACCTGTCTTCATGAATCGATCGACTTGTTTGCACTGGTAAAAGTTGTTTTCCTAGTTCTTCAACACGGAAAACTTGCACAGAGCCTCAATTTTGATTCAAGCAACCCAATAAAGAAAGTGTCTAATCAAAATAGTCATATAATAGTCTTCCCATATTAAACAACTCTTAAAACAATAATTCAACCAATTTATCTAGAATTAGTTTAACAATTAATTCACCTGATAAATCACTCATGAATTAATTAACCAATCTCCTATTAACTTTGAACCTCTTTTATGGAAATAACACAAGTTACCAATATGTAGGAAATACACTGTGTCGTTACAAGAAATTATGTGAGCTAGCAAAGAGACCCGATGGACATATATAAATCAAGCTCCTATAATCACAACGCTACATGTAAACCAACAAGTCCATCTCATGATTATAAAACTCTAGCGCTACTCCACTAAAAGCCTATAGCTGCACTCTCGATTTATATAGCGTATTTACAAAGCTCTGAGTAGCTCTCGTCCATGACTCAATATATTAGTGTATCATCCCCATAGAATATCCATAATCGACTTGAGGTCAAGTTCTGTTTTATCTTCCTGATTATGTTTATCTTATGTTCCATTATCACACTATCAGAATACCATTATTCGGATCATTACAAACAGTAAACCATTAGATAACACAGAGTAGTCTAATGGCCAAGCGCTCGTATTTTCCAATCCACTAATAATGCATAAGAGGATATCATTGACTCTTTATAGGAGCTATGGATTTCATTATCTATGAATAATGAATCTACGTATACACGAGTCATACCTACAATGAACCAGTAAGCGTACCTTTACATAATGTCAAGATGTCTCCCTTTAGTACATCAAAGGATACAAGTCAAGCATATGGGTTCATTATACATCTTAAGATTAAGATGATAACATATAATTCGTCAAAAGTGAATTATTTTATTCAAACATAATTATTAATTAAAACAATTCAACTTTGGTGAAATCGAATATAGATTTCACCATTAGAAACTATGGCCCCGTTCATTTCGCTGATTCGAGTTTAGAATTCGAGTTTTGCTACAGTAAAAAGCTCTCAGAAACAGTCACATCTAATTTTTTTTTTTTTGCTACAATAAAAAGCTCTCACATAACATCATATCTCAACTCGAATTAAAAACTCGAATCAGCGAACTAAACGGACCATATATCAATGTCTCCACCTATGGAGTCTCACCTTCAACGACGAAGACAAGCCATCTCCGTTAAGAAATAGACAACATAACAATATTAACATGAATAAAACGTCTAATTTTATTCTCTCTATCGTGGATCATATGATTTAAACTAAACTAAAAAATCATTTCATTTTTTTTATCATTTTTTTTTATTACACCAAACATCATTTAAAAATTTTTTTTTTTCGAAAAACGTAATAATCACGACCAATAAAATCCTGTCTTCTTCCACTACCCTCCAAGCGTAAGCCAAAATGGCAGACTTCCTCCACTTTACCCTCCACGTGTAGGCCAAAATGGCAGACACAAAGCGGCGAAATTCTCCCGAGCCCAGCCTCATCGCCGTCGTCGTGAAGCAGCTCCGTTGTGCCCGTCTCTCTGCCGTGGGAACCCAGATCCACGACCACCGAGCTTGCCCCTACTGTTGCAACTCTTCGCGAGCCTGACCCTCCGCCGCACGAGCCCCGTCGAGCCCACTCCAACGCCGCGCAAGCCCTGTGAAGCCCACTCCTCTGGTGCAACCTCACTTAGATCCATCAAGCCCATCTTCTTCGCGAGCTGCGGCAAACCCAAATCCGTCCATCGCCGTTGTACCACTGTGCTCTCCCCAGCGATCCTGTCGCCGCCGCAAGCTCCTCTTTTCCACCCATACGTCCACATAGCACACAATTTCCCACCGTCTGATATTGATCTTGCGGCCTTAACTCACCCTAACCTCAAGCCTTCTTAAACATCCTTTTCAACCTCCATTATTTCTTTCCGATTCTCTCTCTCTATCTGTAAAACAAAGAAAAATAAAAAGCACCATGATGGAGAGTAGCCGTGTAATGTAAGTTTGAAGGTAATACTAAGTACTGAGCTTGGTTTTTTTTTTTTTTTTTTTTTTTTTTTTTGAAGGTGGATTACATCTGGGTGTCGTTTCCTGCTTCTTCTTTGATTGAGTTTCAGACATGGTGGAACTCTATGGATTTCAGACATGGTGGAACTCTATGGATTTCTCGTCAAGTGCTGAACTTTTTGGTGTGAGTGACTCTGTTTTTTGCTTTTGGGTTTTTTTTATTTTTGAGATTAGTTGATGTATTTTAGTTTTTAACCTTTTGTAAAGTCTGATAATTATTTATTTATTTATTTATTTATTATTTATTTATATTTAATCATGTTTATAAATTAATTAAAAATTAATGTCTCTAATTATCTCTAAATAACCTGCCACGTAAGCAAAATCATTAGACGGATGGATAGTTCGATTTATTTTTTATATATTAAAAAGTATTTTAAACCATTTTAAAAAATTAGAAGACACTTTGTAATGAGTATTTATAAAAATAATCTAAAAAGAATAAAAACACTCAACGGCTATGGCCTTTTTACTGTTCTGATCGTTTTTATTAAATAATATTGCCCATAATTCTCTTCCAAATTCCAGTTCAGCCTCTCGAATAGAAGGAAAAAAATAAAAATAAAAATAAAAAAAACACTTTCCCTCCATTATTTTTCCTCCTATAAGTACCGTTGCAAATTACAAAACCCTCATTGAGCCCCCAAAAACTTGACCGTTGGACATCCAAACCAAAAGACGAGAAATCTAGAGAGAGAGAGAGAGAGAGAGATGACAATGGCCGCCCCGAGAGGTCGTGGCCGTCGTCGTCGGAACCCGGAAACTCCTCCTGCAAATCCCAGCCATTCCATTTCCACCGACGAACACCCAAAAACGCAGAAAAATGAAATCGTCATCTCCGAATACGAGCAGTCGAGAGAAGAAAGAATCAAACAAAATCTCCAGAAAATGCAGAAGCTTGGCATTTTCGACCTCTCTCTCCACCTCAAGTCCAGCCTTCGGACCCCGAGAAACTCCTCTTGTCCTAACATGAACAAAATACCTCCTTCCATTTCCCCTCTTCAGCCATCTGGTTCCATTCGGCGGTCTTCCAGGTGAAATTTGAATTAATCTCCGAAATGTAGCTTTGTTTGTTGTTATTTTCTTTCTTTGAATGGCCAATTTTATTGCCCATAAAAGGAAAAATGGAAGGAAAAGTCGAACCGAGAAAACCCTAAGTCGTAGCAGTGTTGAAGATGTTATGGTAGTTTTCGATCTGGGTTTTTAGTATTTTTCTACGGATAGCAGGATTCTTGTGTTTTATTTCCTGAATTAAAAAAAGAATCTGATTTTTATCGTTCGGATTTGGTTTTTTTTTTTTGGGCTTGAAATGTTGTACTTATTGTTAAGTATTAGCAATATCACCGGTTAGGATATAATGAGATTTTACTTTTTACAATATTACCGTAGGAATTAAATGTCAACGATTTGTTTTTGTACTCTCTCTTTTTTATTTCAATTACCTAGCTGTCATACCGTGTAAATAGCAATTACCAGCTTGTATAGCTATATTTGTATGCCACCCATTTATATATAAAAGAATATCATATGTGCCTCTCGTATACACAAGACGAGAGTTTTTTTTTCCTCAAAAGCTTTTCTTTCCTTTTTATTAAAAAAAAGAATCTGATTTTTATCGTTCGGGTTTGGTTTTTTTTGGGCTTGAAATGTTGTACTTATTGTTAAGGTTGAAAATTTTGTACCAAAAGCATGATCATAGTGTTTTATTCTCAGGAAAAAAAATTGATTTTTTTTTTTTGGGGTTTAATGCTGTCTTTGTGACTTAAGATTGATGAATTTTGACAAAAGCAAGAATATAGTGTTCAATTCCCAGGAAAAAAAAGTATTGATTTTTATTGTTTTCGTTTTCGTTTTCTTTGTTTAATATTGTGTTTATGGGCAAAGGTTGAAGAATTCAACGCCAGTTAGTTACTCAGAGGTGGATTTGGTGAAGAAGGACAAGGAATTGGGGGATGATGAAAGTGTTCTGGCTGAGGCGGGTTCGAAGCCGGAGATATACACAGAAGAGCATGAAAAGCTGTTGGGGAACACAGACAAGAGCTGGACGCTGTTTGTGGATGGTTGTGGGAGTGATGGCAAGAGAATCTATGATTCAGTTAAGGGAAAAACTTGTCATCAATGCAGGTCAGGTTTGTTTCCTTTGTTTGTTGTCAGTGTGAAACTGAATTTCAAGCATAATATAAGATCGAATAACTCAACATATTTGCAGCCAAAATGATATTAGTTTTCACCAATCCAAGTAAACAAGGAATGCCACTTTAGGACATGAGGATTATGGAGGAATACTAAATGCACTCATGAGTGTGACGAGTGCACAGTCTGGATTGTTGGTTTTGTGGGGCTCAATTGGGACCCACAATGAGATTGCATAAAACAACAGCCCAAGTCGTGCACTCGAGACACTCGCGAGTGCATTTAGCATTTCTGTTTTCATGAATATGCCCCTATCTTGTTGGTTGGAGGATCCTAAAGATATATAGAAGTCCAAGGACATGCCTTTGAGGGTAAAGAGAGAGGAATAAACAATGATTGTTTTTTCCCATGATAAAGATGAACTCAAGAAGCATAGTTTTTTGAAATGTTGTTATTCGTCTCGGTTTCAAGGATGTCATCACCTTTTGCACATCTATATTGTATCGGAACTTAGCCTACTTATATTTGCAGTGCTTTTATTTTCAATTACGCACAAAGGTTGCACTAAAAACATCTTTCAGGCAGAAAACTCTTGGTTATCGTACTCACTGCAGCAGTTGCAACGCGGTGCGAGGACAATTTTGTGGAGATTGTTTGTACATGAGGTATATCGCATACTTTTAAGATTTTCATCTTTGCCTTAACAATTGATCTATTAACTCGACCCCTTATTTTTAATGGATAGATATGGGGAGCATGTACTTGAAGCCATAGAAAATCCAAACTGGATCTGCCCGGTTTGTCGTGGGATTTGCAATTGCAGTTTTTGTAGGCAAGCAAAGGGTTGGGCTCCAACGGGTACTCTCTATAAGAAGGTTAATTCTCAATTATGCATATATTGCATTTTTCTTGGTTTCTCTTTGTGTTTCTTTGTGTCTCTTAGGAGTAATCTTAATTGTCAACTTTCCAGATATCACAATTGGGCTTCAAATCGGTTGCACACTACCTCATTCAAGCCCGTCGAGCTGAGAAAAAACTGGAAAAGAGTGGAGATACTAAAAATGAAGTTTATGTGAAAAGGTCACTGTTCTCAGATATGAAAGTACTCTCTGAGGATTCCCTCGAAGTTACTAATGAACATCCTGGATCACCAGAACAATTCAAAGATAAAACCGATGATGATACCAAGAATAACAACGGCAATCAAAACTCTGAAAATATTGGATCTCTAGAAGTTGACCACAAAGTTGACGACGTCCTTGGATCTTCAGAGCATCAACGTCAAAATGAGAAGGCCGATACTTGTCAAAACGAGAAGGACAAAGAGTCGCATGAAGTAGAACGTGGCAATAGTGAGATTGTGTTTAAAAATACTGATGTTCAGGCTACTGAATCAAGAATGGTGAGAATTGCTGACAATGATTTTCCAGAGACAGAAGAGAGAGTTTTGGATAGAAAGCATGCTGTAAACGGAATCGCATTGCAAAAGGAAATGGATGAAGAGAATGATACTCCAAAGGTGGAGACTTCTACTGGCATTACAGTCATTACTCATGATGATGGGTTTCTGGGCATCGTTTTTGAGAAACTCTCAAATGTTAAGCAGCCGGTAGGTGTTTCTTCGCTAAATAAAGTGGAGGATGAGAAAGAACTGTTACCATCCGATATCAAGCATCATGATGTGAGCACTCCATTGGAGAGCAGTCCAAAACTTAAGCAGAAGCGTGTTCATCCAAGCTTAGACAGTATTGGTGGAAGAGTAAGGCAGAGGCGTAAGACGGGTCATAACTATGATGAGGCGCAAGGAATGTTAGAGAAAGAAAATTCAGATTTGAAGCAGGCTGCGAAACACTAGTCAGAATCGACTTCCTCTAAACGTAGCTCAGAGAGCGTTGCTGGAAGATTGAGGTCTAGGCGGAAATCATCATGAAGATGGATTTCTATTCCCTCTTTCAAGGACTAAATGGAGCATCTTTTTTTGGCTATGGTGACAGAACTGCTCTGATGTTTGAAAGAAACACTATTTTGTAATTTTGAGTGTGCTTTCTTGTGCATTTTGAATTCTGTCCCAAGTCCTTTAGTGATGGCTATGAGGTGGAATGTAGCGATTACAATTCTTATAATTTCTTGTCTCATGCTTTGCGCTTTTTTTTTTTTTCATTTTGTTGGTGGGGTTTTTTCAATTAAAAAAACTTTAGGATGATGAGGGATTTGAATTCTACATCTCGTGATGGAATCAGGTGTGGAATTACTGTTGGGCAGATTTATTTTTTGGGTCAGAAAATTACTTTCTTTGCCGACTAAGTAGATTTGATTCATCAGCTTTATTTCTTGAAAATTTTCTTTTCCCGATCGTTCTGCATTTTCTTCTTCAGGAACTATCTGATTTCTTTAGGCAAACATGGGTTCATTTTTGTTTGGTTGCCGAGACATAGAAAGGAGGGAGGGGTGAGAGGGTTAGTGGACAGATTTATTTTTTTTATTTTTTATTTTTTTGAAGGATATTGGATGGATTTTAAGACTTTTAATTAATATCATTTTAACTAATATAGTTATTTCGTGAAAAGAATATTAATTAAAAATAAAAAATATAAATTTAGATTTGTGTATTTTAAAAGGGTATTTATTTTATTTTCTTATTATATTATGGATGTTTGGTAAAATGAATTAGAGGAAGAAAATTCTTACGGAACGCAATTTTTTTTTCCTTTTTACATTAAACTTGGGCTTTTCCCACGTTCCAAATTTCAAGCAAATTAGTGCTGATCTTAAATTATTGGGCCTACTGATCATTGACAACAGATTGACACAACCAATAGAATCTCTCTTGCCACAAATGGATTTTATTTACTACAGTTTACTTCCTGAATCTTTCATTTAGGAGGTAGAAAGTAATTCACATGGAAAAAAAAAAAATCTTCATTTACGTGGAATTTTTTTTTATCAATCGTAAAAAAAAATTATGTGGAAATAAATCTTTTTACTAAAGAACATTTATAAGATAAGCTGTTATTTACTCCTAATAGTTTTAAAATCTGCTATTTATTTTAACTATGCATCTCTAATGTAATATTATAATTGATGTGTTAATTACAAATTTAGTATTTGGATGTAAAAAACACTTTCCAACGCAATGCTATTTATTGTGCTAATTTTCTCATGTTATATTTTGTGACAAATTTCTCACCAAGTATAACATAAAGAAAATTTGACATTTCATTGTTATTGGTTGAAATGTTTACTTTTTTATGTAATCATTACAACTTTTACATTTTCTAATTATTTTAAACATAAAGTTTTGTAACACCCTGAAAAATTAATTGAGATTAATTAAGGTAATTGAGATTATTAGTGTGCCTAATCTGGATTATTAATTGAGTTTAATTAATAAATGTTTCTGACACATGTGAGTTTAAATAGTTCCAAGGTATTTAAATTATTCTCAGTAATTTATTTTAAACCAGAAGTGTGTATAGGCGCATTTCTGAACTGTTTTTTTTAAATATTGACACTTGTCTATTTTTTTTTTCTTTTCTTTTCTTTCTTTTTCTTTTCTTCATTCCTTCCCGTGCACTTTCTCTCTCTCTTTCACTCTCACTCTCTCTCTCTTCACTCCTGTGCTCTCTCTCATTTTTGTCCCAAATCAAACGGATCTTGAACCAAGAAAAGATTTAAAGAAGTTTTCAACGTCAAGAGAAGGATTTGAGGTAAGATTACTGAAAGATTGAATATCAAGTTTTTGAATTTCAAAACTTATTTTAGTTCAAACCGGATTTTGATGGTTTTTGAGTAAAACTAGGGTAGAAATTGGAGATCTTGGGTTCTTTGAACTTGTTTTAGGACCTAGAACCCAGATCTAGTGGTTTTCCTTTGAAATATCTCGATTTGGGACTGAGATTGCAGGTTTTGGACTGATTTCCGTGAGCTTTTCTCGCGCAGCTGATTCCACCGGTCGACCAGTGCGGTCGACCGGATCACATGGTAACCGGTCGACCTGTGCGGTTGACCGGATTGCATTGGCCTGATCGGTCGACCTGTCCGGTCGACCGGAGTGCACACCACCGGTCGACCAGTGGTAAGGCACTGCTCTGTCACCGGTCGACCGGTTGACACGGGGTTTGACCCTGTTTGGCCTGAAATTGTTGTTTTGACCCCTGTTCTCGGGAAGAACCCAAATCAGCTTCATTTGGGGACTTGAGATAAATGGATTAGCATTGTTAATCCTTGATGTGAGATTGAAAACCCTTTCAATGATATTTTGAAACATGAAAATGGATTAGGGCACACTAATTGAAAATCTTGGTACATAAATGAGATTTAGATTGCTTTAGGAATGAGAATTGATCCTAAAGTGTTGTCTTGCATCAGTGATCGCTGAGGATTCAGACTGAAGAGGCTGGAGGAAGCGGAAGCCGGAAAAGGCAACGTTAGTCCTAAGTTTGATAGTGCGAGGTAGGATTTCTATCCCTTTTCCTTGTGAGCCTGTTTTCAAAAAGAATTTTGGCCTTGAAAATGTTTTAAAGAAATGGATTGGTTTGTGAAAGAAAACGTTTTGAAAACCATGGCTTGTTTAGTCATGGAACCTCATGGCTTGTCCAATCATGGGGCCCGCGGCTTGAGTAGTTTGTGGGGTCGTATTAACGATTTCAAAATGTTAATGAATGATTTCTTAATAAAGAGATCTTGTGAACTGGTAATAGAGTCTATTGCTGTAAGCCTATATAGGATGCGGAGAGTGCATCATCGGGGGCAGAACTCGAAACTCGGTCCGGGTAGGCGAGACACTTGGTTAGGTGAGTAATTTGTACTAATTACTTGCTGAAGCCTGTAATATGAAGATTTTACATTTATTTCCATTGAGAAAAAGGATGTGAGGTTCCGGCTGTCTGTTGGTACTGAATGTCTATTTATTTACGTACCCATTTATTTATTTACTTGCACTTTATCTATTTATTTACTTTACGTCTTTGTAAATAACATCCTACTGGGCCTTTCGCTCACGTTTTATGTTTCAAATGTATTAAACCCCTCTCAGGAGACTCTAGGAGCGGGGCACTATAGCTGGATAATTGCTACGGAGCAGCTGAGTTGTGCTGCTGTTGGAATCAAGAGAGGATCGTGGACATCCTCTTGGACAAATGTAAGGAATTTGAGAAATTCTGTAAACTTATGTAATATTTGGATTTACTAGACTGTGGTTGCTGCCTGTTGTAATGATTATTTACATGAGCATGTATGTACGATATTGTATGTCCTGTGGGGTGGAGCCCTGTGTGTCAGAGGCTCTGGGATTCTGTAATTTATTTATATTTTAATGCAGTTAAGTGTGGTGTCCGGTTGGAAATCTACTTTATTAATCCCTAATCGAGCTCCACGTCACCCACCCCGTTTGGGGGGCGTGACAAGTTTACTTTTATAACTTTTAAAGTTTAATAATTATGAAAAAAAGTAAATTTAACATTTCAAAGAGCATTATACATTGCAGTAATAATAAAAATAACATAGCATGTCACACTTTTTTATGGTAAATATACAATTGACATTAACATTTGTATTGGAGAATATATTACTCTAAATTTACTATTTATTTCATTTTTTTTCCTTTAAGAAATTATCTCAAGTCATAATTGAGTTCACACTATTAATACAATTGATATCAATCAAGATCTCGTTTATTTCACCGATTCGAGTTTTTAGTTCTAAGTTTTTACAATTAAAAACTCTTAAAAAATGTCACATCTAACTTTTTTTACTACGGTTAAAAACTCTCATAAAATATCACATCTCAGCTCGAATCTACAAAGCGAGTATGGCCTAAATATGTGATATTTACAATTGGACTATAGATGGCATAAAATGTAAATAATATGAATTTTAAAATTTGTGGTCAAACTGCACTTGGTTTTATTATTATTATTATCATTATCATTATTTTGGAAAGAAAAGATAATTCATGTTAAAAATGTAATAATCTTGTCACAAATATATATTCAACATGTTGATTCAAATAAATTTATTAATCCTATCAACTTGTATAATTAATATTTTCAAATGCGTATTTATTTTTTCTGATACGATTACTCAATGAGGAACACAATTGTCACCCCCTATTTATAACCGTTACATGACTGAAAAGTCAGAAGAAATAGCTTGGTTTTTATTTTTTATTTTTTGGTTTTCATTTCGCTTCTGGTTTCTTTAATTATAGTTTTTGGGGTATTCTAACACAGTACTCAGAAACCAATAATAAATGCATAGTGGCTTAGATTGGCACGAGGCAACAGTACCAGCAAAATTATTAAACTGTTTTGTCAGCTGAATGACCAAACACTCGAACGTACTGAAAACGATTTCACCGGAAACAAAATAAAAAATTATTTATTTTATCGATTTAAATTTTATTATAATAAAAAAATTTAAAAAATAATTAATTTAATTTTTTATTATAATAAATTTTTTTTATATAAAATTACATTTTAATTTAAATTAAAAATTTGAATAAACCAACTGAATAAGTTCAAAATTTACAAACAGAAGAGTATTATAATACGCTTAACGGTCACTGCTTCAGATTCAACATTATTTTATTTGTCCCTTGCTTTATGTTGCTCTGTATTATTTTATTTCCTTGCTTCGCCCGGTTGTTTGTTCCAACTTGTCTCCATATTTTTCCCTTGATTTATTTCTTTGGCCATTTCAGAAGAATCTCTTGGACTTCATGCCCTATAAAATATTAATGCATGCACAATAACACATGCTGCACAGTGTTAAAATAACTCCAACCATATTAGTTATTTCATATTTTTAATTAAAATAACTAATAATTTGACTAGAATTTAACTTTTCTCCGCTCTAAACATTAGTTAAATAGTTAACTATTTTAAAATATCCATTTCATACTAACTACATATAGCTAGCAAGAAATGACTAGTTATTTAGGGTCCGTTCGGTTCGCTAATTCGAGTTTTTAATTCGAGTTGAGATGTGATGTTGTGTGAGAGTTTTTCACTGTAGCAAAAAAGTTAGATGTTACTGTTTTTGAGAACTTTTTACTGTAACAAAACTCAAATCAGCAAAAAGAACGGAGCCTTAATTTATTGTATTATTTTATTATTTCGTACTCAATAAATATAAAAATTATTTTTTAAATTAAATAAAATTATTTATATTTAAATTCAATAAATATTAAAATAATATATATTTAGTCGAGAAAATACATGACTCAATTCCACTTATAAGATGGCCCAATATTCACCACATATACCACCGTGCAATTAACACCCGCCTATAACAAATTGGTCGGATAGGAGTCTTATAACAAGATTGTATTGTCAAATTGAAAGGCGTACTTACCACTGTACCAGTTGGTATCACCTTATCCAATGCAATGGCTACTACTACATGAAAAAGGTACTCTACTCAAATGCTTCTTCTTTTTTTTTTTTTTTTTTTTTTTTTTTTTTTTTTGTCGAGCACTGTACTAAGATGGTAACCGAGCAGATGAATTTCAATTTATAATTTCCAATTTCAATATCAGTTTTGATCATTCTACTGTTGAAGTTTAAAATTTGAGTTTTATTATAATAAAAAATTCTTAAAAACAGTCACATTTAACATTTTTATTATAAAAAAAACTCGCATAAAATCACATCTTAACTCAAATTAAAATTTTAAACCTCGTTCATTTCACCGATTCGAGTTTAGAATTCGAGTTTTATTATAATAAAAAGCGATCAGAAACAGTCACATCTAACTTATTTACTACAGTAAAAAATTCTTATATAAAATCACACCTCAAATTAAATTAAAAACTCGAATTAACAAATTAAACACGCCCTTAAATCAACAAATTAAACCACCTTCAAAAAATTCAAAAGTTTGTAGGGGAGATGTCCCAGTCTCACTCTCTCTAATCTGTATGCTGAGTGCTGACCTGACTCTTGAGCTTTGCCATTCCCTGTTGATCCAGTGGGACCTTGAAATTTTGGGTCATTTGTCTTCTCCTCCTCTTCTCTGCCACTGCTACCTCGAAAATAAAAAAAACAAAAAATTGAAAGAAAGAGTTTGGGACGGCAGAGACGCCCACGTGGCGGCCCAAAACTGTTTTGCAAAGGCCGATGCCTACTCTGAGGAATAACAAATTTTTATTTTTGTTTTGTTTTTTCTTTTTTTTTTAAAAAAAAGTTTTTGGCTAGGGTATTTGGATTTTGGAACTTTTGGACCCCACGACGCAGGACGTTAACGGCTACATTTTTGGAACTTTGCCAGTGCTCAAAGAGAGAACTCAACAGAGACTTATTAGCCATGTGAACAAAACAGGGTAGAGAGTATTTTAGCCAAAAAAACAGTGTAGAGAATAGAGAGTTTGGAGTCCTTCGCGTTTGGCGGGAATCAAGAATGTGGACCCCACCGTTTTGTCCACTTTCGACATTTTTTTATTATTAATTTATTAACATAACAGTGCTAACGTTTGTCTACGTCGTTGACCGAAACACTTGGACTTTTGCTCAATCTACGTGGTCCCCACTTTTCCCTCGATGCCGTCACAAAAAAAAAAAAAATCAAAGGAGAAACTAACGCCAATGAGAACGAAACAACCAAAACTAGACTACAGTTAATACAACTTGAAAAGGATTAAAAAGAAATAGCACATTTCCAAATAAAAAGCCAAAAAATTGTTAAATGTCTCTTTGACAATATTATCGTTTTGGGTTTCGGGTTTAGGATTAAGCCGGCGACGGTTGAGAAGTGGGGTCGGCGGAAGACGGAATATCAGGCCCCACCCGACACCCTTCGAGCATGAACACGATGTCAGACATTGTGGGCCGGTCGAGCGGGTCGGGTGCAGTGCAAAGCAACCCGACTTTGACTCCAAGGAGGAACTCTTCCCACTCTGAGGATTCAGGGTCAAGCTCAAGCAAGCCCGGCTCTAACAACTCGGTGATTTGGCCCTTTTGCAGTTGCTTCTTCACCCACTTGACAATGTCTTCATCTTCGGTGAACATTACAGGTCTTTTTCCCGTTAGAAGCTCGAGCAAAACGATGCCAAAACTGTAAACATCGGACTCTTTGGTGATTTCTCCTGTTAGTACAGCTTCTGGAGAGACGTAGCCCAATGTCCCAACCGTCGTGGACGTTGAGGCCTCAGCTGGGGTGGCAATGGTGAGGCGTTCGAGCCCGAAATCGGACAAATGGGCTTCGAAGTCCGCATCGAAGAGGACATTTTGCGGCTTGACATCGCCGTGGACAATCGAGGAGGTGTGGAGGAATGCCAAGCCCCGGGCGATGCCGAGCGCAATGAGGTGCCGCATTGGCCAATTGAGGACATGGCCATCTTGGTGTGAGGCTTCTTGGAGGAGCGTGGCGAGGTTGCCGTTTGGCATGTAGTCGTAGACTAGGAGGCGCAAGTCAGGTGGACCCGCGTAGTACCCGCGGAGAACCGTGAGGTTACGGTGCCTGACTCGGCCGATGGATTCGGCCTCTTTTCGGAACATGTTCTCGTCCAGCACTCCGTCCGGGAGGCGGCGGATTGTGAGGACCATTCCGTCGTTATAGCAGGCCTTAAATGCCAATCCGTAGCGTGTTCTGCTTAGCACATTTTCCTCATCGAATTGCCTGGTTGCTTCAATTGTCTCCGCGAGTGTGATCTTGGTGTTGAACATGGTGACTTTTGGGCCTCCATTGTCTGTGCTTCCCCTGCCGCCGCTGGCTCCAGAGCTCGCCCTTGCCGGGCTTCTTTTCTTCTCGCCGGACGCCCTTTGTTTCAGCCTCTTTCGCCATCTCAAGAGGGTGAAAATGTAGAAGCAACAACACAGAGAAAGTAGTAAAGCCCCACTTCCAGCCACAACTATTAGCAAAATCAGTCTCTTCTTTCTATCCTTATCTAGTACGCCCTCACACTTTCTATCCAACGGCTTCCCACATAAGTTCCGATTATTTGCAAATGCTGATGGATTCTTGATTCGAGAACCGAGTACTTCCGGAATTTCGCCTTCGAGATTGTTCCCTGAAACGTTGAAGTTCACCAAGGCAGGAATTAGTGATAGCTTAGCAGGAATCTCCCCAGTCAAGTTGTTGTTAGAGAGATCCAATGTACTTAAATTCGATAGCTTGGACAATGAGGCCGGTATTCCACCCAAAAGGCGATTTGAGTCCAGTCGCAGAGTGGTTAACGACGAGCATTCGGAGATTTCCTCCGGGATTTCGCCCGTCAGGTTGTTGCCACCCAAATCAAGCTCCTGCAAGTGCGAGAGCCGCGAGAGATCCTCCGGTATGGGCCCTGTAAACAAATTCGATTCGAGCTGTAGAACTTCGAGACCAGAGGAATTACCGAGCTCCGGCGGAATCGACCCTGAAATGCGATTTTCGGACAATGAGAGTACAACTAAAGACCGAAGAAAGCCATAGTTGGAAGGAATGTGACCAGAAAATGCATTGGAACTCAAGTTCAAGTATCTCAAACTCATCAAGCTACTGAAACCTTCAGGAACATCACCAGATAACATGTTCTCTTGCAATACAATAACCTGCAGATTGGGTAAGCCAGAGAGCTCAAATGGCAACTCACCAGAGAGGTTCTGTCTGCTCAAATCAAGAGTGGTCAGCCTAAAAAGATTGCCCAAGCTCGCCGGAACCCGACCCGAAAAGCCATTGCCGCTCAGGTTCAAAACCATTAACATGCTCAGATTCCCAATACTTGCAGCAATTCCACCTGAGAACTTGTTCCCACTGAGGTCCAATGTGGTTAAGTTCCTCAAGCCCATGAGCTCATCCTCAGGCATGGCCCCACTCAACAAATTACCTCTCAAACTCAAGGTCTCAAGCTCCGAAAGATTGCGAAAACTCGCTGGAATCGAACCGGAAAACTGATTCTCGCCAATGGCCAACACTTTCAAGACTCTCAAATCGGCTAAAAACGCCGGGATATTACCGGAAAACCGATTTCCTTCGAGATCAAGGACCAATAATGAGCTGCATTTCTTGATCTCCTGCGGAACAGAACCGGAGAAGGAATTATTCGCCATTTTTAGCTCCTCCAACCTCGAGAGATTCCCAATTTCTTGAGGAATTTTTCCGGAGAAAGAATTTCCTGAGAAATCCAGTCTTGTCAAGGTCTGAGCCTGAGTTAACCACAAAGGAAACTCTCCTTCTATCCGATTGTGTTGGAGATCGAGAACTTGAAGGCTGCTGAAGCAAGTTGCTGTCTCGGGAGCAATGATGTCCCTGAAGGTATTGAACCCTAACTGGACGATCCGAAGAGACGGCGGATAGACCGAAACATTGCAGAACATCGACGACGGAACTGAACCAGAGAGATTGTTTTGGGAGAGAGAGAGCACCTGGAGATTCGGTAAGGCTCCGATCGCCGCCGGAATCACGCCGCCGATCGCGTTCCCTTCGGCGCTTAAGTGAACAAGCGACGAGCAGTTTGCTATGGCCGAAGGCAAGGTTCCTTCTAATAGATTGTGATCCAGCCAGAGGTACTGCAACTCCTGGAGCTCGCCCAAGCTCGCCGGAATCTCTCCGGCGAACTGGTTGTAGGAAAGGTTTAAGAGCTGGAGCTCCGTAATGTTCGAGATGCTCCTTGGAATGTCGCCGGAGAACGAGTTTGAGGAAAGATCTAGGTACCTGAGAGAGGCGGGGAGATTAACGGGAATGTCGCCTGAGAGACGGTTCTGAGCGACGTTGAGGATTTGTAGCTCGGTGAGATTCCCGATCGACGGTGGTAGATTGCCGGAGAATGAGTTGTACTGCAGGAAAACCGACCGGAGAAGCGTGCATTTCGAGAGGGAACGAGGAATGGAGCCATTGAAGGAGTTGTCGCGGAGGCTGAGCTTCTTCAGCATCCGGAGGTCGCCGACGCGGTCGCTGAGTCGGCCGCCGAGTTGGAGGTGAGGCAGTCGGAGCTCAACGACCCGTCCGTCCGTACACCCGACGCCACGCCAGTCGCATGGAGCCGACGGCGTCGCGCCGTCCCAGCCGCTTAGCGCGCCGAGCGGGTCGTGGAGGTTGAGCTGGAAAGAAGTCAGCGCCTCGACTTCGGCACTGCGGTCGCCGGCGGCGGCGCACGACAGCAGAGGTGAATGTAATAAGAACAATAGCAAGAAGAGGAAGGAAAATGCAGCAGTTGATAATAAAGCCATGGAAGGAAAACTAGTTTCTACTGTGGAAGGAAAAGAGAAAGGAAATGTGTAAAGTTTCAAGCTTTGAGTGAGGTTTGTTGTTGTTGGTGGAGGTTAATGTTAAGGGAATGGTGCGCAGTGGGGGCTTAGGTTAGAAGAGACCGTCGGAGAGCGTTGTTGGCAAAGAAGGGGAAGAGAGGGGTCGCCATGTTGCGCCAGTGGTGCGTAGGTTTTGGTCAGAGAGACCCACACACACACTCACGCAGAGAGAGAGAGAGAGAGATGCTTTGCTTGCAGAAAAAATGGCAGTGGGTTCAGTTCCCTCTCTTCTCTCTGCTCTCAAAACCCTTTGAATAATAATATTAATAAATGAGGTATTTCTTTTCTTATTTATTATTTGTTTTGTTTTTTCTTTAACTTAATAATTTTGGTGGCAATGCCAAGGCCAATATATTGGCTTTGAATAAGCACTTTTCAAAAAAACGGCATGTGGGATGGGCTGGGCTGGCTTTTTAGCCTCATATGATAAGACGTTGGTTGAATCATTGAGCCCTGTGTGAGACCCTCTTTTCCCTATATTTTCCTCATTTTATCCCATCATATTCATTCCTGAGGTTATTCTTTAAAACAAAAAAAAAAAAACAAAAAAAAAATTGTGTAAATAACAAGTCTTCTTGTATAATGATTTGTTTAGTTTATTGATTCAAGTTAGTAATTTTAATTCTAAATTTAAATTTTATAAAAAAATCTATTAATAAGAATTTTTTTTAATTTTTTATGAAAAAAATATTGTATAAAAATTTACAAGTAAGTAATTTTAAGAATATTTTATAAAAAATTGTGTAAATAGTAAGTGTTCGTGTATAATGGTTTGTTTAGTTTATCGTTTAAGTCAGTAATTTTAATTCTGAATTTAAATTTTATAAAAAAATTTATTAATAATAATTTTTTATTTATTTTTTAATAAAAAAAATACTGTAACAGAATTTAATAGAATCATAAATTTAGACGTTTGGTAAGAGAATTCATATCATGATTTGAATCATGGTTCATGATTTGTTACAGTATTTTTTCTCATAAAAAATACACGTAAATTAAAAATAATTCTAATCTCATGATTTTAATCTATGAACCAAACGTCTGAACTTTTTATTAGTTTATATTTGGCCGAGAACCCTCGTGGTCACGGCCTCATTTCTGGCCGTGTCATTGTATCCATTAGTGGGTCCAAAATTTTGATATTGCTCCTACCCATCTTTAATTTGTGGCTCTAATTTCAAAAGTTGCTCAAATGATATGATGTAAAAGTTCAAAGGGGGTATGGTATCTAGCTGTGACGTACCCTTTTTTTTTACTCCTTTTCTCTTTTTCTTTTTCACTATTCTTTGACATTTTTCCTCATCTTTTCCTTGCTAATCAACCTTTGTTTTTTTTTTTTTTTTTGTTATTCTTTCTCTACATTCTTCCCGTCTTTCCTTGTTCTTTTCACACATCAAGACTTTGAAGGCCGGACGTCTCTTTCAATTCTTGTTCTTTTGCTTCTTTTAACTGGACGGTCAAAATGTGAAAGTGAACGGTGAAAAGTTGGACAAGTATATAAATCCTCGGACGTTTTTAACTAGGCATAAAGTTAAGTGACAAAGTACAAAAAGTAAATCTCGCCGGAGCAAATTAGATTTAGTCAATATTCTTGGTTGGACCACAAGTATATATATACACACACACACACACATATATCATGCATGGCTTTAAAAGAATCCAATATTCAATAGGAAAATGCCAATTGGCACATTTGCAGCAAAATAAGACTACCATGCAAGAAGTGGCCATTTATTTATTTATTTATTTCTTACTTTTCCTTATATGTGTGTTAGCGGGAGTTGATTTTGAGCTCTTAATTTGTACCTTTTGAATGAACAAATCGCTTTTTCCAACTAACCCCGAAAAAGTCCCCTCTAGGCTCTATTATTAGTAAAACGACATTCATCATATTGCAGATGTAAGTATACCAAAGTTGTTTAATTTCTATCCTAATTTATGCTAATGGGATAAGAGATAAGGAATATGGAGTTTAATTAAATAAGAGGCCATGAGTACTATTCCATTTTTTGATTTATTATTCAGAAATAAGAAATCCCACTTGTATATGTCGTTTTAGAATATTTTCTGGTTGGGTTTGATTTATGAAAAGTTTGTTGATAACAACAAAACATAACTATAATTCAAGAAGGGAGAGGATGAGCTTGAATGCGACCCCATTTAGTGGTTTTCTTAATACGTGACAGAAATTCATCAATCTAAAGGCCAAATAATTAATGTGGAGAATTATGGCTAGGCTCCTATTTCATCTAGCTTGTTTGTTGTAAATATAATTGATGGCATGCCATGAATGAGTGACGGTTTTAAGCTTTTAAATTCACCATTATATCCATAAACTTATCTTCACCAAACGGGGTGGTGCATTAATTACATATTTTTCTTTATTCTCCTGTCAAAGATTGTTCAATATATGATCTCATTTTTTAAAGTGCTTGTTAATAGATATATGACGCATTGGATATATTGGGGGAGTCCGTTTTGTTTCGTAAGTTTTGAGCTGAAAGTTTGAATAAAAATTTTAATTTTGTAAAAGAAAAACACTGAACTAATAAAGTTTGAATTATGATTAAATCTATATAAAAAAAAAATCAAGCCTATCTTTTAAATAGAATTATATCAACATCTTTTATATGAGTGTGCCTCAACATTTCTATTATAGAGATTCGGCTCGTTTGGAATAGTATGTGTTTGCGTTTTTAAATAGTATAAGAAAACAAGTATAAGTTGGGGTTTTTTAATTAGTGTTTGGATAGTGTCTAAAAAAATACTTTTATATTTAAGAAGAGTTTTTAAGCCTGTTTGGGTAAAAAAATAAAAAAAATGCTTATTATTATAAAAATAATGTAATAAAAAGATATGGATGAGATATTTAATTTGTTATTCACAAATAAAAATGTAAAAATGTAAATAAATTTTTTTTTCATAAGCACTTTTTTCATAAATACTAGAGAGATGGATTGTTTCAAAAGTACTTAAAAAAAGTGAAAAATACTTTAAAATTATCCATCCAAACATATTTAAAAGTGACTTTTAGACTAAATAAACTAAAATCTAACTCTTTTTTTTTTTTTAAAGCCAAACAGTCCTAAGAGTAGATAGCTCCAATAACTCTTTTTCATTAAAGAAAAAAAAAAGGAAAATAGTAAAAAATAGACCAATATGAAAAGTTTAAGAAAGTATATAGGTCAATTTTTAATTATAGAAATTAATAAGTCATAACTTGTCAAGTTATGGTTCATAACCAGACAAATTATAGACGAAAACAGTAATTTAGCCTATTTATTAACTTATATAAACTATTGCTTTATTAATTTTAATTCATCTCAAATCTTAGCCTATTTCCCTCTTTCTCTCAAAAAAAAAAAAAAAATTTATATGACCTCATCATTTAAAGGCCCAATGTCTACCTACCACGTTACTCTACGGCCCAATTGAGCCAAGAGAAAACTGAAAAAGTGCAAAAACTGACCCTAGCATAAAAAGTGAATTGAAGATAGTTAATTCCCTTTTGTTCGAGAAAAACAAGCCAATTATCAAGTTGTCGTGCTTCAGACAAATAAATTTGCACAAAGGATTCTGTTGGCTTGCACTCATCTTGCAATTAATTGTACTTGAATAGGTGAAAATGGGCAACTTTTAGCTCACTTTTTCCCTTGCAATAATATTCAATGTACCTTGGAATAGGTTCATAGCCAGAAAACACATGCTAGCATTCACTCTTTTCTTTTTTTTCTCCTTTTTTTTTACCAAAAATAAATAAATAAAGGTTAAAAAGTTGAAATGGTAGCCTTCACTCTTCGAATAACTCTCTTTATATTTTATTTTGTTTTTTTTTTTAAATTATTTTTGGCCTTTCCCTGATAGGCAATAAGCAATTAAAAAAAAAAAAAAAAGAAAAAAAAAAGAGGCAGTTAAAGAGTTACTGCTCGACTATTAAGAGAATTTGGACTACAAGCACTTGAAAGGCAAAACACATAATAAGTAAAAGGGTCCCCACTAGAATACTTTTTTACTAGACCATATGGCTTTGTGTTGAAGTAGGGAAATGATTAGGGCGTGAATCTTTTGGGCTGGTCCATTAGAAGGCCCACCAAAACAGAAAGACATTGAGGACAAACGAACAACAATAGAGCATGGAGTTTCATGTATAGATATGTTTGTTTGTGTCCCATTTCATGAATCATTACAAACAATGCCACATATATATCTTAAAAAGTTAAAAAACGAAAAAAATAGAATTCCAAGGAAAATTTGTTTGGAACATGTGACTTTCCATGTATCATGTATGGTTAAAATAGGAATGAGATAACAATTAGATCATGATTTTGGATCCGCTTGTCTATGTTCTTTTTTCTGATTTCTTTTCCCTACATGGAAAAAAAAAAAGGAAAAAAGGCAAATTCAATTGCATTGTTATTCTTTCATACAGTTAGACAAATTTCAACTACAAAAAAAAGGAAAAGGAATAAAAAGAAAAAAAATGTTGCAACAAATGAATTTAAACAACATTTATACAACAATGTTAGTACTAGTATTATAATTAGTATTAGATGTGGGTGATTTGAGCAAATTTTTGCAAAGTTTCAAAAATTAAGAGGATAATAACAGAAACCATAACAATTAGAACAATTGTGAAAGTGAGACTAAGAAAGTAAAATGGTTGGGGTATTTTGTTGTGGATGGATCAAAACCTTCCCTATAAACCTCATAATCAAGAACACCAAAAAACCAACTACACAAACATACCATAAGCCTTTCACTACTCCTTCAAATACCCTCTTGTGTATTCTGATCTCTTCATCTTCTGGTTTTTCGTCCTTTAATATTTATGAATCTTCCATAAAAACGCCATACTTTACTAGAGACTAATTTCATGAGTAGAAAAATAAAATATATAAGGCGCGTTTGAAACTCGTTCTAAAATAATTTTATTTTTTATATGAAAATAAAAATAAAAAAGTTTTCAATCTCACACAGAAATCATTTTTAAGAATGCATTTGGTAATTTTATCAAGAGATTATTTTTAGTGTAAAAAAACTCATTAATGTCTCTCTCTCTGCTCGAGAGAGGAGAAAATGAAAACAAAAAATGAAAAACGACTAAAAATCATTTTTTATTTCTCTCTCATTTTACACTAAATCAAAAAATCGTTATTATTTTTTATTTTTATCTTTATTGCGTCAAATGCCGCTTTAAAAATATTTTTATTTTTTCTTTTTC